ACACTTAGTTGTTGTAGTTTATAGTTTCGTAGTATTTGGATGCTTTTGATCATCAGTTTTCGAAGTCTCTTTTGATTGTTTGCTTATGTGCTTATGTGCCTCTCTTCCCATGTGTACCCTGGACTTTGGGGGTGTGGCCAGGGATCCTGGATCTTCTTTCCCTTTCCTTGGCTTTTTCCCCTTTGGGTTTAGTTTCTCCTGTTCTTTTTTCTGTCCACTAGCCCCTTTATTTTACTCCACGATTTCTCCCTAGCAGTGGACTGTCACTTCCGGTATTCCCACTGCCTCACCCCTTCCCCAGGTGCTGAGGGTTGGACTCAGGGCCTTGCCCATGTTCAACAGGCCATTGCCACTGAGCCACATTCCCTTGATACATTTATTTCAGCCCACTGTGGGCTTACAGCTTGCTCCCTCGAAGTTGTTCTTTCCTTGGCTTTGGCTTGTATGGGCACAAATTTGTGCCTGGATGGCGGCTGGTGCCCTGGGCAGAGCTCCAGAGTGCCTTGTCTGTGCCCCTCTCACTGGCTGTACTGGCTCTCTTGTAGCAGCTATGCCTCATCGTGCCTAGGGTTGACTTTGTAAACCTCAGAAACAGTTGAATCTTCCAAGGGTCCCTCCCTGCTCCGCAGGCTCATTTGAGCAGTTCATTTTTCTCTTACTCTCAGAATTACAGCGCCGTAGTGAGTATGGTCACGGGTCAGAGAGTCCTTTCCCGTGTTTGATGGGTTTCCAGCAATAGGAGGGAACTCAGGCCAGTCTGAGGCACACAAGCTCCAGGCTGTTCATTAGAACAGTGGGGTTTGGATTAGTTTGGCCTCTGTCTCTATGTAGCCTAGGCTGGTCTAGAACTCTCCATCCCCCTGCTTCAGCTTCTGAGTGCTTCAGAGATGTGATGATCACACCTGACAGCCACAAAGGACAACAACCAGACCCCCCCTTCCTTCCCTCCCTTTTCCCACCCTCCCCCTTCCCTCCATCCCCTCTCCTCCTTCTTCTCCCCTCCCCTCTCCTCTCCTCCCCTCCCCTCCCCTCCTCAGTACCCACCTCCAATTCTTTCCTTGCGTTCTGTAGTTGGCAGAAATTCTGGCCCTGCAGAGTCTATGCTGCTTCCCTTCAGTGCTGGCCTGCCATTTGCCTATGTTGGTGAAGCATTGGCCATGGGATATATAGGGACCTTGCAGGCTAGTTAGGAGACCTCAGATGCAGCATGCCAGAGCAGAGTGATCAGGTATACTGGGCATTTTCTGGAAGAGGAAACCTGGCAGTTTCTGGAGGCTAGAAGTAGAGAAACTAGTTTGACCCAGGCTATTGTACTGAGAACTGCCCACGTAATTTCCCTTTCCAGAAGCTGGAGCCCGGCAGTCTCTTTCCATGTCAGGGAAAGCCTTGCCTTCTCTGGGTGGGCCATAGGCACAGGGTTTTTAACCACCAGACTAGGTAAAGAAGGACTGGGTGGACCTTGGCTTGACACAGAGAGGAAGTGGGCTGGAATATACTGAGCAGAAGGGGGAAGCCTGTGAACAGTCGGTATGTCAGCAGGAGGTCAAACTCTAGGAGTCTTCAGCAGTTCTAGTATGAATACGGAAGGCTCATAGGCCTCTCTTAGCATCTGAGAGGAAGCCAGGCTGTGATACTGCAGTCAGCCAATTGCAGCAGTGCTACCCTGGCTCTGGTTCTCTGTCACATTCTGACTCCACTCCTGGTTCAGTTCAGCCATTGTCTGAGCACTGTCCTCGAAACAAGTGTTTGTCACTTGACTGCAGTACCCTCATTGGGCCTGTAGGCAGCCTTGGGGACAGGACATAGCCTGAGGCTTGGCAGTTGCTATACAGGGTGTAGGCTACCCCGTAGTGTGGCCCTTCTCCCTGAAGCATTAGTCCTCTAGGGGACACAGTGAAGAAGGTATCTACACAGTTGTCTCTCCAGGAGATGGTTCCATGTATGGTAGCTGTGGCATGCCTCCACCTGCAACTAATGTCTTTGTGGGAACGTCATTTGATTGTCCCACGTATCTCTGCCTGGGCAGCACACAGGAGACAGGGGCAGTGTGCACTGGGAGCCCACTTGCTCTCATGGTTGTGCAGCTGGGCACTATGCCCATGGCAGGGACAGGGGCATCTGTTACACCTAGATGGTTGTGTTTTCATTATGCCCAGCCTCCTTGCCCTTTCTTCTGAGTTCCCATTTACACATGATGAATTGCTCAGAGATCAAGTGTACATTCTGGGAATTCTACTTTTTTTTTCTTTTATGGTACCCAGGATTGAACTCAGATCCTGTCACAGTAACCAAGCATCCTTTAAGCTAAATAAATCCCCAGGCCTCTGTTCTGGACATCCTGACAAATTCCTGTACTTCTATACTCTTGTGTCACCTGCTCCTTACTGTTGGGCACTTGTGCCTGACCACCCTCCTCTGTCACCTGCTCCTAACTGTTGGGCACTTGTGCCTGACCACCCTCCTCTGTCACCTGCTCCTGACTGTTGGGCACTTGTGCCTATCCACCCTCTTCTGTCACCTGCTCCTGACTGTTGGACACTCATGCATATCTACCCTCCTCTGTCACCTACTCCTGATTGTTGGGCACTTGTGCCTGTCCAGCCTCCTGGTCTCCTTGCCACTGGAGACTTTCTTAACTCTGACAAAGTTTCTGTGGCATCCTTAGGTCATGGTAAGCCTATACCCAACCAGCACATCGTCATTGCAAGGGACCTTACTCCTTTTTTTTCTCATAGCTGAGTGATTTTTGATGCTTCCATAGTGTTCTTAAGGTTTGATTAAATTGATATAGAATTTGTCTAGCACTGAAGCCATCAGTTCAGCCATGTTGATGATGTATCAATGTTTTTAGCATATTTATCCATAACCTGGTTTCATGTCTGTTTCTGTTTAAAAAAATACCCTAAGAGAAAGCAGCCTAGGGGCAAAAGGTTTATTTTTCACTCACAATGTCAGATTGTAGTCGATGCTGCAGGAAAGCCATGATGGTGGGAACTTGAAGCAGTTATATCGCAGGCAAAGGCAAAGAAGGAATGGATGTACACATGCTTACCGCTCAGCTAACTTTCTCTACTCTTAACTCCGAGGTGCTATGGATACAGAACCTGGAATGTGAATTTTCATCAGGGAAGCTGGGGTCCAAGGAGCATACAGGAAACTTCAAGGACCTAGAATATGTCTTGTGCTGAGTTTTTATTAGGAACAACTGATGCACAGATACTATGCGTGCAGATACTATGTGTGCAGACACTATGTGTGCAGATACTATGTGTGCAGATACTATGTGTGCAGATACTATGTGTGCAGATACTATGTGTGCAGATACTATGTGTGCAGACACTATGTGTGCAGACACTATGTGTGCAGACACTATGTGTGCAGATACTATGTGTGCAGACACTATGTGTGCAGACACTATGTGTGCAGATACTATGTGTGCAGATACTATGTGTGCAGATACTATGTGTGCAGATACTATGCAATCATTGAAGTACATTTACAAGGAATAGGGGTTTGCTTGTTTGTTTGTTTGTTTGTTTGTTTAACAGATCACCAGTGAGAACAAAGACAAGTGTGGACAACAAATACACTGGAGCAGAGCAAGCCTTTGCATCTCAACAAAGTACATTCCATTTCCTGAGTTATAAGTGCCCATTGTACAGACTGTTTCCTTCTGCCTTTAGTGTGGCAAGGGCCGGAATGCTTTTAGAATGTATTTCTTTCACAGACCAGGCTCCTGGCAATACCAAAGTCCAGTACCTGGAGTGGTGTCACCCACATTCAGGCTGTGTCTTTTTACACTGAGCAAAGCAGTCAAGACAGTTCCTAACAGACTTTCCCACAGCCTCCCTGAGCTAGACAGTCCCTCACTGAGTCACCTCTCAGGTGACTTTAGGTGATGTCATGTTGACAATTTTAACCAACCAGCACAACCAGGCTGGCCAGCTCTCATCACCTTCTGACTTCCAAATATTCTGTCATCTCAGAGAGGTCCCCAACCACTGTACTTACCTTCACCCCGACTGCAGCCTGTTCCAACTCTGCAGACTTGCCATTTCTAGGTGTGTAGTCTAGATGGAGTCATGCAGCTCCTGGTTTGCTGCTGAGCATAGATGCTGGGTGTATCACATGGCAGCATATATGTGTCAGTCAGAACCCTCTTTAGTCCCTTTTGTTCCGTTGTGTGAACAGATAAGGCTATAGCTTATCTGATGCTGGGCATTTAGCTGGCCTCTACTTCTTCTCAGGACACAGTGCTACTCTGAGTGCCCTGATGGTTTTGTGTGGATAGAAGTCCTCACTGTTCTTGGCATGTGTACTTTGTGGTAGAATTATCCATGTGCACAGTAATCGGACTGCAGAGCACAGGGACTAGGTGTTCTCTTTGGTGAGGTTAGTATTATCAGATACTTATGAGGCAGGCTTCTGGGAACACCTTTGAGGGATCCTCTGGGTTAAGGTTAGCCTCTGGGAATGAATGTCTATGAAGGATTGCCTGGATTAAGATGAGATGGGAAGACCTGCCCACTGTGGGTGGCACCATTCCCTAGGCAGGGTATCCTGGATCTTATAAGAGTAGAGAATGTGAGTACAGCACTAGCATGCATATGTTAATCCAGTGGTCTCTGCTCTGGAATGTGGACAGAATATAACTGGTTTTCTCAAATGTCTGCTTCTGTGACCTCCCCGCCATGATGACTATGACCTAGAACTGTGAGCCTAGTGAATCCTTTCTCCCTTAAGTTGCTTTTGTCTGAGATTTTATTACAGCAACAGAAAAGAAACTAAGGCAGAGACCCCCTTCCCTTTGCAGCCCGAGTGGTAGGAGGGCAGTTGTAGACATCCATCCCTGACTCTCTGTCTGGCTCTGCATGTTGAACTGGAAGGCAGCGGTAGGGTACAGAGCACCTGTCCTGGAGACCCCCACTGTGAGAACAACCCAAGCATCTGCTGATAGTGATCCCGCAGGCAGCACCATCATCTATCTTCTCTACTCCTTTCTCTTGCCACCCAGGGTGAAGCTCTTGACATTCAGGAGCTGTGCCAGGTCACAGTGGCCAGTGCCTTTCAAATCAACTCCCATGGTGAGTCCTGGCCTGGGCCCATTCTCCATCCTGCTGCCCTTGGTCACTGAGGTGACACTGGAGGCCTTACTGTATTGTGACCATCATGCAGGCCAACCCCAGCTTTTCAGGTGTCCTTTCCCAGCATGAGGCAGTCTCCTTGGCCAGCCTGTTCCCCATTATCAGCTATTCATGGCTGCCTTTCCCAGACTCCTCCTTCCCTTCAGTTTCCTGTATATCCTCAGTATGATGACATGAGGCTATGGAAGGAGTGTATCCTAGGTTCCTTTGGATGTTCAGGGCGGGCAGTACTAGGGATGAGAGCCAAACCTCATGTTCTCAGGGAGAAGGGAGAAGCCTTTCCTAGACTTGTGGTATGCAGGCCTGGGGCCTGTCCAGGACCTATGCTGGGCGGAAGTGGACTGAGCATAGTGTTCAAGGTACATAGGTGGTCTACACTGTCCTTTGTCCAGGCCTCCTTTGCCCAATTTCTGCCATAGTGACTGCATGGTGGGGGTACACCCATGGGAGGAAGAGTCCTTTTGATTATCTTGACCATCTTCTCTTACGAAGTGACGTCCTTGGAACAGAGCCTCCATTCCTTGGGGGAACTAAGTAACAGACAGGCGCTTCAGGACAGGCTGTATGTGTGGCCACTACATCTCTGTACTCGTGCATGGTGCCACATGCACACTTGCACACTTGTGGGTGAGCCAGTCTGAGCTCAGAGCCTGAGGCCACAACAACCCCGTGACTCACCTCTGTGGCACACACAATTGCACACCCCTTACACTTTAGGAGTAAGCACATCTGTGACCACCTCCTGAGACACATGCATGGATACAGTAAGGGCAGGTGCTTGCCACCTTGTATTGTGTCCCACCACGTGCTCAACCATGTCTCTGTTGTGCCCCAGACTCAATGACAGACTCACAGAGATGAAAATGTCTCAGTGGACACAGGCTGGAGTAGAGAAAGCTCATAGGTTTGGTGCTGCCCAATGGGACTCCAGTCCTCTAAGAGGGTCCTGCTGGCCTGGGTCACACATGCTAAACCTTTCAGCCTTGCCCTGCACCAGGCAGTGCTGCTTTGAGATCTGCCACAGGGTCTAGCCTAGGCCTCCATGTCATAGGCCCTCAAACTCAAGCATGAGACTTATATCAGTAATTTAATGGCTTAGTGGTGGCAAGGACAATATTTGTCTGGCTGTGGGTGGCCTAGTGTCATCTCAGGGTACTGTTGGAATCCCAGGTACTTGGCTGGTTGATCCTAGAATCCCTTCTCAGTGTTTGCCTGGTGCAATGGACCAGATGCTGCTCTCTGTATCTGACACTGGCTGGGCTGAATCCACACCAGGTTCTTGGTCAGCCTGGATCAAGGTAAATGAGCAGCTCTCTCTTGGCAGTGGAGAAGATTCCTCCATCAGGCTCACAGATGGCCAGGTGGCTTAGCTAGGATTTCTGTTGCTGTGATGAAACACCATGACCAAAAGTTGGGGAGGAAGGGGTTTATTTAGCTTCCACTTCCACATCAGAGTCCATCACTGAAGGAAGTCAGGTCAGGAACTCAAACAGGGCAGGAACCTGGAGGCAGGAGCTGATGCAGAGGCCATGAATGGAGGCAGCTTACTAAGATTCTCCTCATGGCTCTCTCAGCCTGCCTTCTTATAGAACTCAGGACCACCAGCCCAGAGATGGCACCACTCACAGTAGGCTGAGCCCTCCCCCATCAGTTACTAATCAGGACCACAGCCTGACAGCATCTTATCCAGCCTGCTACAGTTGAGCACGTCTGTACACAGAGACCTGACAGCTCAGGTGCAGGAGCAAGCTGCTCCTCTCAGGTGCTGCTGAGAGTGGTCTGAGGTTGATTTAGCTGTGGGAAGATGTACTTACTTTTAGAGGCACTCTGGGGGCCAGAGGCTCACAGATACAGACAGAGCTTCTCACTCCACATGGGAAAACTGAGGTCCTGAGGGAGGACTTTTCCTGGATCTACAGAATGAGAACAGAGATGGTAATAGATCTTCTCTTCAGCAGGGATAGCGCCTGCGTGTTTTCTTAGGAGACACTGTGCACAAACCCAGGGCTGCTGTGAGTGCCCCACCCACAGCCCATACTCTGATCTCAGCCCTGTGCCTTAACCAATAAAGACACTTGTTTCAGAGGAGTGTCAGCTTAGGGTGTCGGGCCTTCTTTGGTGTGACAGTAGGGTTACCCCTAGGCACATTTGGTGCCAGTCTTCTCTACAAGGGCCAGAGGTCCTTGCCAAATGAGGCTGCTATACCCAGTGCCCTCACCCATGCTGAGGTGCCAGAGGGCATATCTGGTTCTGGATGTCTTTTTTTTAGTCCTAGGACAGGCAGAGCTTTGTCAACTTGTTCACTGTCACTGGGACATGTTTGTGTGTACGTGTGTGTGTGGGGGTGGTGGTGAGTGTAAGTCGGTTTCATTGATAGCTATACTACCAGTTGGTTAGCATGCATTCAGTAAGCCTGATACTGTGTATTTGCCGGAGTTGTTCTGGGTGAATGCTGAGTATTCATTTTCTTTCAGAAACTCTCTCTGGTTCTTCTCACCTGATACCTACTGCCTGTTTTCTAGTCTATTGTGAACTACATGTGAGCTACATGCATGCACAGCCATGGGGGTTGTCCTTGTATTCCGTGCCATTTCTCACTCATGGTGGCCATGCTGAGTCCTTTCCTTTATATTGCTAAGTAGTGGCTTTATCACTTTCTCTTTACCCAGCACCTTCTGAGGGACCCAAGGCTGATTCCAGTTAGTGCTGAAGCTGCGCTGTGTCTACAAGGTTTCTGTGTGTTTCCACTTCTGGGTGAGTTGCCTGAAGCAAAATTGTAGAGCCAATAATGAGGTGTGTGTTAACTCGAGGTGAATCCACTCAGCTTTCCAGAGCAGCTGACATTTACAGGCCTCTGTGTCCTCTCCAGAGCCCGCAGGTGTGGACAGTTGTAGCTTCCATGTGTATTACAGTGGCTACTGTGCGGCTACTGTGTTCTCCTCTGGGTGCATGTCAGTCTCTTGCCTGTCCTTGTCATTACTTGTTCTTGTTTTGTGACTGTGGGGTTGTCAGAGCGCTTATGTGCTCAATGCAAGTCCTGTGCCAGGTGCTAAGGGGAGACTTTCCTGCCACAGGCTTGTCTTTTATTGGAGTATCTTATTTCTAACGTTATTGAGGTCCCCAGAGTGTTCCACCCACTCCTGTGATGTGAACATGATTTATGCTTTACCCTTCACTCAGCTACCATTAGGAAGGTGAGCATTCAGTCCAGCCTTGGTGCATGGTGAGGCTTTTGGGGTGATGGTTAAATACAGGACACCAAGGCAGAGAGGCTCATGATAGAATTTTGGTGGTTTAGGAAAGGAGACCCCAGAAGTACACATGTGCTTCAGCCATGAATCCTGGAAGGCCCTCATGAGGGCCTGTGCCATGTTGTTGAGATTTTTTTTTCTTTATTAGGTAGCCTGCCTCAGGCACTTCATTACAGTAATGCGCCGATGTATTAATGGCTCATGTATTTGCAGGCTTACGGTTTTTGTATTTTCAGCTCCCACCTTTGGGCTTGACACGCTTGGAATTTATTTTTGTGTATGCGGTGAGGTAAGACTGAGCTCATTAAACAAGTAAAAAAAAAAGTTTTTTTTCCTGTTGACTATGTTGGCGCCCTTTTGGAGAACTGCCAGAGCCTATTGCTGTATTACATCCTGGGCCTGTGATACTTGAATTCAGGTGTGGGCCCTCCGCTGCTGGCTTTTCTGAAGCTCTTCTGGATGCCCAGACCTTTTGTGTTTCAGTTCAACTCAGCATCAGCTTGTTAACTTCTATTTTTAAAAAAACTTTTTTCTAATTTTGATTATGAAGGCTTTGAATAATTAACATCTCAGTGATATTGTCTTATGCCCCATAAAGCTGCTTTTTCTTCTATTTGTTCTCTCTTTAGGCAATTGCTTGTAGTTATCAGTGACATGCCTTGTTCATGGTGTAACATGTTCAATTCATCTGAATGTTCTCATGGTTTCTATACAGTCACACACGCCATTGTTTAAATTTCACTTTCCAATTTTGGCCACAGTTCAGATACATGGCTGGCATTTGTACACTGCTGCCTGGTGGCACCTAAAATTTCCTCGTTTATTCTTGGAGGTTTCCTTTGGCTTCCTCGGGGCTCTCTGCAGATGGCAAACCCAAGACACAGCCCTGATGTGGACTTCCAGCATACATACCCATCTTGTCCTCCTGTCTTTTCTGATACTGGAGCTCCAAGTGCTAACTTCTGCTCTGTGCTGTCCCCGCTGCATTGTGATTCTCTCTGCTGTGTATACTCATAGCTCTGATTTCTGCTTCTGGTGGTAGATGGGCTGGCAGACAGGCTGATCTGGGCCACAGCTGTGCATAGTCCCTGGGTTGGGCCTGTCAATACTGTGAGTGTCCTTGAAGAGGAGGAATCTGTAAATGCTCTCGCTGGCTGCTGCAATTACTGGTGATTTGCACTCCTTTTCTCTCTCTGTGCTGTTTCTTGGGTTCACTAGCTGTGTAGCTGGCAGAGTGACCTAATGCACGAAGGATGCCAGGCCGGGTACGGAGGCTGGCTTGCTTTTCTGTTATGAGATGGCCACAGTCTATGAGAGATGAAGAGGAGACACATCCTGGAAGGGACACAGAAGTAGACTGCTTTCAGTCTCGTGCGGATGTCAGAAAGATGAGAGCCACACCATCCCCTCTGCCATTGTCCGGGACAGGATCTGAGGAGGAATAGAGAGGGCTTTACAGGAGGAGGAAGCTAGAGTGGCTCCTACCCCTTGGACTGGGGCTTTGCCCACTGCTCTGTATCTGAAGAATGGAATGTCAGGTGGCAGCTGAGCTGCTGCTACTCTCCCTGCCTGTCCAGGGCCTGTAGAGCAGTGCCCTGGGTGGTACTGGAACGTAGTTAGGGATTTGGCTTTGCTGGGAATGAAACAGAGTTGCTGCTATGTGGAGAGGCTGGAGGGACATGAACTGATCTCTGAGAGGCATTCCTCAAGCTGCTCCACCTGCAATGGCATGTGACGTAGTGGTAGTAGATGGCCAGAAGACACTACGGAAGTCTGGAGACATGAGAAGAACGGACGTGTTGGTGCAGCATTTGCCTAAACACAGTGCAGCAGAGCTGGCTGATAAACCGTGTAGTGGGCTGCTTGGGGCAGGGCTTTGCTTCAGGGACTGGAAGGATGGGGCTCGCAGAGGCTGAGGTGGGTAAAGGGGGCCAATGCGATACCTGGGCAGAGCTGCTGCCAGCGGAAGGCCATGGAGGCTAGCTTGGAGTTCAGAGGCAGCTGGGAACAGAACGTGGGCTAGTGGCACTCAGATGACGTTAGGCCCAGAGGCTATCGGGTGGTTCTCATAGGGAGTGGCAAGTGACATGGTCCTGGGGAAGTCTGTGCTGTGATGTTCTGAGGTTGGCCAGGTAAGCAGATGACCTTGGGCCATAGCAGGTAGTGACATATGACAGGAAAGGCTCTGCTAGCTCCAGCCCTCTTTGTAACTTGCCATAGTGTCCTTAGCCTGTGCTTGTCTGCAAGTATTCTCTGTTTGTTTTCTCTTCCCATGCAGGCTGCCAGGACTGTGTCCCTTGGGAGGCAGGGCCTTATTCGCTGTTTCTGCCATGATCAGTGGTCTCAGGCAGGCTGCTCTATGGTACAGGGCATGGTGGTTGGTGGCCTTTGAGGACCCAAGGCTGTGGTTCCTGCCAGGTCAGACCTCCTTCTCTGTTGGGCTATGTGTGTTGGGGACAGGCTAGGACAGGGTTGCCTTGGCTGGCACTGTGGGTAAGGTGTGTAGGGCCATCCCTAAGCAGCAGACTCATGGTATTTGGAGAGGGTGGGTCACATGAAATTGTAGGTAAGTCTTTTGTGCTGGAAGGACCTGAGTTCCCTCATGGAAGAGGCCCCTACTCTGCCAGGTTTAGGTTATCACAAGGCTGGGAGAGTGGTATGGTGTGCCTCTCTGCATGACAAGCGCTGGCCTCAGTAGGAGCAGAAAGTCTAGTCATTTGCCTAGGAAGGAGTTAGAGCCACAGGGTTGGTGCCTTCACCTCCCGCGGCCATCTGTGTGTTTTGCCTTCTCTGCTCTGCATGCCCCTATCCATCCACCTCCCCACCCTCTCTTGTCTTTTGGTGTGTTCTCTGCCTGTTCCTCTAGGTTGCTGTCCTTGCCTCTGTCTGCCTTTTTGCTCTTTGTGGTATACTTACTACCTACCTGAAGCACCCCTCACTCCTGTGCCTTGCCGTTCTGCTCCTGGCTGTCCTTGGCGCCTCACATCCTTCATCTGAGCATCTCCCAAACTCTGTCTGCCTGGTTCTGCCCCATCTCCCTGTTCTTCTCTCTCACTCTGGGCTATCCCTGAGCTTCCTACCAACCCCAGCCTCACTACTCCAGGCTTGAAGTCCAGCAAGACACCAAGAAAACCGCCGCCGCCAGCTCCAGTGCCATGAAGCAGGTGTCAGAGCTGTGGGGCTTCTGCCTGGCATGTTTTCCCTTAGGGAACTTGAGGCTTGGTGAAGGTGGTGGCTGGTGGGCGGAGGAGAAGATACCCTGGTGCCTGTGATGGGGTGCAGAGCTGGCAGGGGCAAGACACTGGACTGATAGATGTAGAAGGACACTCAGGACAGCTGAGCTCATTCTGGGCTCATTCTGTGGCCAGCACACTTCCTGAGAGCCTCTACTCTTCTGGAGCCCATGGTACAGTGGTCATGAGGGCAGTCTACTCTTCCTGGAGATGAACATCCTGAACACCCTGTCAGCAGTTGCATGGCCCTCGGCTCTATTGCTTATGTCTTCTCATCCTGCCCTGCTTTCTGTCCCCTACCCTTCTACCTCCAGCCATCCTGTGCCGCGCCTCCGTTTGTACCCTCTCAGTTACACCAACATCATGGTCACGTGACGGTTCTCACAGATGACTGCCACACACTGTCCCGGCTACTGCTGTCCCTTCCTGCACTATCCACCCATGCATGTCCACTCATTCCATTTGTTGGCAACACCCTTCCAGAGTTCTCACAGACTGGAGAGTGCCCAGAGCATGAGAGTAACTGCTGCAAGTCCACAGTCTGTGAAGCAATAGGCTGCTGCCTGCCATCCCCTGCCTGCACCAGGAAGCTTACCATGCTCAGCCTCTCTGGCTGGTTCCACTGTCCTCTGCTACTGGTACTGTATCTGTAGCAGATTGCCTGCGAAGCCTAGAACACCAAGCATCTGCCCTTGACGGGAAATGTCTGCCACCCCTGTTCTGTCGAGCTGTGAGCGCTGTGGCCCACACTCTCAGGGACTGTCAGCAGCAGCAGCAGGGGTGAAATCAGGAGACCTGCCTGTGTGGGAGTGGCTCAGTCAGCACAAGTCTGGAATAAGGATGGATGGAGCCTGAACACGTGGGTATGCTCCTGAGACAAGTTCGGGTCGTGGAGACTGGAACATGGACTGGTGGCTGCAGGGACTGGTGTGAGCAGGGTCTAGCTGAATTAGGCTGTCAGGGCACTGGGACTATGCTAGTGTTCTAAGACTGGGTTGTAACAATCATAATGCATCTGTGTAGTACTGAGTCACCGTTGGTGAAAACATTCTGATTCCAAGTATTGACTTACACTAACATGAAGGTGCTGAGGAGGTGGTAGCCATTGATCCAGTGACTAGAATATTCCAGAAATCAGACTCTGAAAGCCCTTTGTCCTTGGTTTGGGTGGCCAGCAGCTGCTTACGCCCAGCATTTTAAAGTCACAACTGCAGTGGTTCACGAGGCAAGATGGCACTTCACTCTAAATCTTTGGTGGGATGTTTGTTCTTCCTAGGTGACACCAAGCAGTGCACCAGTGTCCTGTGTCACTGCAACATTATTCTAGTCCCCATGTGCATGTGTGCTTTCCTCTGTTTACACATTCATTCTTCACACACTGTCATGAAGAACCTCTTACATAGCACAGGGGCTCAGCTCCAAGTGGCCAGGCCCTATGTTTCAGGGGGTGTTTCTCTAGAGCTAGGATGATATAGTCCATGCCAGCCATCTTCTGGAGAGGCTAGTGATGTATTCTGTCTAGCTGAGTGGACTGATGGAGACAGGAGTCCACATATCTTTGACTTTGTAGGGTACAAACTTCGATAGGATGTGTGGTTCAAGTTAAGGCCAAGGGGCCCCCAGGACCTTAGATAAATTGATCCTTGGGCCCTGTGCTAGTTTTGTGACCCTCTTCTCTGACAGTGTGGGCTGTTGGTCTTGTTCCCTGTTCAGAGATGAGGGTCCCTCCAAATGCATAGCAGCCATAACTGGCCAAGAACTCAGGTCTTCCTGCATCCAGTTCTTAACCTGAACAGGGGCCATTGGGCCGTGACATGGGGCCTGAGCCTTTTGTCCTTACAGGAGATACTCTATGGTGATCCCTGAATGTCCACTGTCACATGTGACTGCAGGATGGGGAGGAGTCAGACCAGGTCACAGCAGGCTAGGTGAGAAATGAGGCTGCCAGCTCTGATGAATGTAGCCAAGACTGGGGAACAGGAACTGAGAGAGCCAGACCCCTACTTTGGTTCAGCAGTAATCTGAAGTCTTACACACACACTTTCAGTGCAGGAGGGAGTGGCTCCTGCATCCTGTCTTTGGGGAAAGCAGTGGTGGCAGGAACGGTCAGAACCATTGTCATCTCAGGTGATAACTCCTTGCAGACTGGCTGCTGTTGAGCTTGCTGGTGCCTAAAGGTGGAGTCCTTGTTAGTCTCTGGAGTCTGAGAGTTACTGTGACTTTATACTCATGTCCCTTTCCTTTTGTGCAAGGTTTTGATGTGTGATGTGACCTCAGGTGGCAGAGAGGCCTTCCAGAAGCATGGTCATGGAAGTGTGCCCAGTAGGGCTCTCTGGAAGATTATGTGTAGGTTGATCCCACTGAGCGATAGGCTACAGAGTAGAGTGGCCAGTGTTTTTCTCTCTGCCTCTTTGTTGTCTTGGGTTTTCACATGGGCCAGTAACTATAACTTCCCCTGATGCTAAAATGAAAACAAGTCTCACAAAACTGCTATGGAAAGGGTAGACCATACACCCCGGGACTGTGGTGCACACTGCCAATGAGCAGCATGCTTATATAGAGTTGTCATCATGAGTGCTGGGTAGGCGTAGTGGTAGGTATGCTATGGGGTAGAGAAGCCTGTTCAGCCAGAACCATTCAGAAGGGTGTTAGGCTATGTGGGTGTGGCTTCAGACTCACTTGAACGAAATTTCTGAGAACCAGCTGGTTTCCTTGGTGCAGATTCTGCTTGGCCAGAGGCAAGACGGTGGCCCCACCAGCTGGTGCTGTGCACAGGAAGCCTGAGCTGACCATGCTAAGGCACGGAGCATTTCTCTTGGAACGCTAGCATTGTAGCTGGACTCCCCTGGGCACTGGAAGCATGGCAGAAGACATTTCAACAGAGAAGCTGGAAGAAATAGAGGAGCTGTTGGCGAGATGAGGCATGGCTTAGCCTCATCACCTGTGTAAGCAGCCACTCGGGACTTGGCCACAGCCTTCTGACCTGTGAAATGGGTCCATTATTCTTCTCAGTTGGATTTCTAAGGGTTTGCATCCACATGCCTTGGCAGAGCTGCTCCCGACACCCATGGGCTATGCCAAGCATCCTAGAGAGAGCTCCTGTGGTGTCAGTGTCTAAAGGGATGCCAACTGAAGATATAAACTATGATGGGCCTAGTGCTCTGTTAGGGCAGAGGGTGTGAGGACACATGGAAAAGGGGATGTAACCCTGTGGAGGATGAAGTGGGCACAGGGATCTCTGGGGACCAAAAGCCTGTGTCTGGGGCAAGACTGGACAAATGTTCTGTAAGACCACCCTCTGCAGCAGGAGCACCGTCAGCTGCACTGGCTGAAAACCCAACTCTCAGATGCTATTCAGCTATGGAGTGGTGCAGAGGGTGAGGGGCTGAGAGGGGTGGTGTCCAGCTAGTTATTACTCCTTCCTTGAACCCCCTTCACTAGCTGTCTTGTCCTGGGTTTGTTTGATGTAGCCTCTCCACCAGAGCAGAAGAGTAGGCATTCCTTGGGAGCACTGTAACAGGTACCAGGGGCTCATTGCATGTCTTCAGACTGTGTTCTTGGAAGGGTTTGTTCTCAGAAGTGCTTCCTAAAGGTGGCCTCCCAGCATCTCCTAGAAATCTGGAAGAGCAGAGATTATTAGGGCTGAGCAGCAGGGAAACAGACCCAGGGAGATGATGTGGATTAGTGGGGGATACCCAGTAGATCCCTTCAGAGACTATCTGTTCTCGGGAGCTGACAGCCTAAGTGTACATTGGTGGCTGCTTGGTGCCAGGTCATCTTTCTATCCTTTTATATTCTTCCATGTTTCCCATTTTGTACTATTTACAATAGAGGATTGCAGAAAAGCCCAAAGCACTGCTTTCCAGCATGCAGCAGGGCAGTAAGCAGGTAAAAACCAAGTTTTGACTGTATCTGGAACCTTGGAGACAATCCAGAACCTGCGATTGTTTGTGCTGTGGGAAAGGGCAGGAAGAGCTGAGGTAGGAGCCCCACGGTGGTCAGGCTTAGCTGACAGCTTTCAAAACTCTGCTGAACCATGGTGCACAGTGAAGCAGCCAAGTGACAGCCATTGTTAGTTCTCTGTGCTATGCAAGACTGATTGGTGTTCAGGTGGTTTTAACCTGCTTTCTACAGGCTGGGATAACTTATAAAGAGAAGCAATAACATTTAGCTCAGTTTTGGAGGCTGAAGGTCCAGAGTGGAATGGCCTCTTTGTAAGGTTCTCTTTGCAAAAGGCATTATGATATTGGCCACAGACGTCAAGGTTAGTTTGCACTCAGAGGCATTCAGTGTAACAGGAAGAAACTGGCAAGGTCCTCACCACAGATAGAGAAGAAAGCTCAGGATAGACCTCAGCCCCGTAAAGGAAATGACCTACAAAGGTGTCTTTGGAAGTGTTCATCAGACACCACACGAGCCAGGGAAGCAGTCTCCTGAGTCTGAGGGCAGAAGGTCTTGTCTCCTCCTTTGGTGCTTCTTGGGGCTTTGCAGCAGGTATGAAGAGGAGACCAAAGGTGGGATCAGGGAGAGCTTAGTCATATCACTGACACTGAGTGTCACTGCAGGGACATTAGAACCAACAGTATACCTCCAAACAAGACCACTTTTTCAGGACAGCATCTAAGAGGACAGTGAGCTTGAAAATGGCATATAGGACCTGGTGTCACTCTAAGTTGGTGTGGCAGCATGTGCCTGTGTTCCTAGTGCCCTGGTATTGAGGCCATGGATGGTGGCACAGAGACACCTTGAAAAAGAAGAAAGAAATGACTGCATTAGCATGGCATCAAAGGAAGGAAGAGATCCAGCATGGCTGCTGTCACTGTCAGGAAAGGAGAGAAGATGTAAGGAATGAGAGTGCTGTGTTTAGAGTCCAGGTCAGCATGTGTGTGTGTGTGTGTGTGTGTGTGTGTGTGTGTGTGTGTGTGTGTACACCTGTGTGAATGGAAGAGACAGAGTAGTGAAGGTAAGTTTGCAGAACTGAAGAACTTGTTCATACCACAGACACTAGCCAAACTGGTGGTGTAGAATCTGTGAGGTGCATGGGTTGGTTTTGGGTGGTCCAGATGCAGCCCAGGTGTGTGCTGGCTATTGAGTGGGTGGTGGAGGTGGCCGGAGAAGGTGGCTGTCCTTCGAGAACTTGATGCTTACTCAGGGTTTGATACCAGCTTAGTTGAATCTGAACTAGGGACAAAGATCTTTTATGCATATAAACGTTCCCTCCAAAACAAAGACAGCCCTAGAAGCAGGAAATACTTCCTACCTCCACAGTGGCAGGGCACTGACCACAGAGACGAAGACTGATGACTTTATCAAAAGCAGTACGTCAGTAAGAGAGCAGAAGGCTGTCCAGAGTTAGAGAGCTTTTGCGCAGCATGGTTCTGTCTGAAACGCTGTCTGCCAACATTCATGAAGATCTCTTGCAAATCAATGTGGAGATGTTCTCAAAGAGTATTTCCAAATAAATAATGAACAGTGAACATGAACTCAACCAAAGTGGCTCCTGGGGAAAAAAATAAACATAGCTCAGGAGGCTGAGGCAGGAGGATGGCTGTGAATTCAAGACCACTGTAGGTTAGCCTGGACTACAGTGTGATGCTCTGTCTCATTTTTTTTTAAAGGAGAGGACTGTCATGGTGTTGGTCACTTCATACTCCCTCATACCCCCAGATAATTACTTGAACAAGAACTTGAATATAAATGCCAAAACCTGCCACTGGTAGATATGGAAGAGGCAGTGGAGACAGGGTGAATTTGTACCCTGATCTGGAGGCCTAGGGGTGTCAGCTGAGGTTGAACATGGTTGATTGTGGTCCTACGATTCTGCCCTGAGGAAAAGTGTGTGTGTGTGTGTGTGTGCATTCACTGAAGGTCGTGGTGTGATCAGCCGCTGCCACACTGAGGCAGAGACGTCATCCATGCTGGCTTCAGGCAGTATGAAGGTTCACAGCAGTCCTGAGGATGAGGCATAGCTGCTGGGGCCCCCCCATGCAGTCTCAGACAGTGAGTGGCCCCTGGTTGGTCTGGACAGTCTGGCCCCAAGCAGAGCTGATAGCTTGCTATTGGGGACAAGCCTCAGGTTCATACTGTCTGCCTTTGTACCACCACTGGCTGACATAGCTAAATGGTTGTTTTTCTTATTTTTCTTTTCCTCCTTCCCTCTCTGTCTCTCTTCCTCCCTCCCTCCCTTCTTTCCTTTCCTTCCCTTCCCTTCCCTTCCCTTCCCTTCCCTTCCCTTCCCTTCCCTTCCCTTCCCTTCCCTTCCCTTCCCTTTCCTTTCCTTTCCTTTCCTTTATTTTCTTTCTGTTTGTGTGTGTACCTAGACCACAGGGGCCATACATTTTCATTCCCACAGTTTAGCTAGAAGTCAGTTGTCATGCTATCGTATTTAGAGCACAGAGCAGAGTTCTCCTTCGTCTCTTGGCCCGTGCCATTTGGAGGAGTTGAAGAGCAGATGTTGGCACCTTCCCCAAGTGAGGAAGTGGCACCACCTGATCCCTCCTCTTAGCTGGGATTGCAGTGCGTGAGAAAATGCCCAATTTCCCAGAGCCTGAGCCCCAGACACTGCCTAGGTCTGAACCTTCCAGCTCCTGCTCCCTCGGCAGAAGGAGGCCAGGGTCAGCCCAATATCATTGTCCCCAAAGATGCCCATCCCAACTTTGCGTCTTCTCATGGGAAACCAAGCCCTTTCTCTGGTGGTCCCACGGCAGGGTTTATTTATTCCTAAGTCTGTGTGTGTTTGAGCCATGGCTAGGGGTGAGAAAGCTGCCTTTGTCAGCTTTTCTCTAGCTGGAAAACCATCACAGGCCCCACTCTGCACCCCAGCACCTGGCAAGCAAATCCTTAATCTGGGCATCAGAGCTAAAGACCCAAATTAAGCCTTTGTAGGCAGCATAAAGAAGAGCTTTGTCTCCCTTTCAGGAGGCTGGGAGATCCGCTAAACTGTTTCTTCAGCCTTGTTCTTTGCCATGTGTGCTAGGGAAGGTGGACTTGTATGAAGGGGAAAGAAGTCCTTACAGGGCCCTGCCTGGCATGGTTGAACTGCCGTCCCCACGTCCCCCTGCAAACTCAGCCCCATATCCCCACTCTGTGCCCTCAGTGGGGCAGCCCATCAAAGGCATGGGCTCCCTGCAGCACACATGGGTAGTCTGGGCCCCTATGCCTTCAGCTTATAGGGAGCTGCCCTTTGAGACTCAACCCTCAGGTCATGTCACACCGAGTTTTCTCGGGAATTCTTTCCCTAGCAGGTCTGACTTGATGCTAACTGGCCCATGACATCTGGTGATGAGATTGGACCCAGTTTTTTCCAGCTCTCTCTTCTGGGATGGGCCAGCTGTTAGAACAGCTGTAGGTTATGCACAGGCTCTTGTGGAAGTGCCACAAGCCTATCAAGACATGTCAGGCCAGGAACAGAGAAGCAGATGGAACAGGCCTCTGCGTAACTGTTTTCAGGGCCTGATATTTTACTGATATCCCGTGGCTTACGGGGGACCAGTCTTTAGAGTGTCCTCTCATGGAATCGATAGTGATGTTTCTAGTCTGCTGTCTTTGCTATGCACTGGCCCTTGATTAGGCATCTTGTTTTCAAGGGGTGGTAGCAGCTCTATGTCTCAGATGCTAAAACTTTATCTGACCACACAGTAGGAAGCCTCTTCTTAGGCAGGCAGGTCCCCTAATAAAGTTGCAAGATATAAAAAGTCCCCAGTGTTCTGCAGGCAGGTAGGACCAGAGAATAAAGGTGCTTGCTGAGATCATATCACACACTGGGTCATTGCAGTACAGCACCATTCCCAGTTGACAGATGCGTATATCGAGGTCCAGAGAATGTGGGTGCCGTGCTCGCATCTTACAGAAAGTGCTATACCGGGCCAGGACCCTTGCCGGAGTTCTTTCCACGAGCCTGGAAGCTCAGGAGGCTGCAGAGAAGGAGGCGTTGGGGATGGGGGGGATAGAGTGAGGCCTGGCACAGGGCCAGAGCCTCCCCCACCCGCAGGCCCTGCTCACTTCCTCCCACCCACAGGGAAGGGAGGCGATAATTACTGCCTTGGATGAGAGCACTTGTCAACAGATTTTTTAGGTCTTTTATTTTACATTCATCTATCCACATATTTGTTTATTTAAAGGCCTCTGCTGACTTCCTTGTGTTCCCGTGATGCGTGGGAAGGACGTTGGCTTGGGAAGGAGACCTGGGTGAGGGTGGCTTCACCGTTACTCGAAGTGGCATTGGTTGTGCCTACTTGGTGGGTCTTGAGAAAAAGCCTCTCAATATCTGCCCTTTCCCCTCATAAGGAGCTAATCTAGTTCCTTCATCACCAGCTCGCCCAGGCGGAGCCATGACATCCCAATGTCTGCCCTTAGATAGAGCTACGGGACCACACAGCTGCCCCAGCTTCATGCGCCTAACCAGGGTAGATTCTACCCCAAGTACACTGGGCACAGCTGGAGTCCAGTAGTACCCAGACTCTCCCATGCCATCTGTGCTAGCTCATACCCATTCATTGCTGTACCTCTGTCCCTTAGATCCTGGTCCAGAATGACAGTGGAGATGAGGTCCTGCCTTCTCAATAGCCAGGGCCCAGACAACCTAGCCATGCCCTAGCTATACTGCTGCTTGAGGGCTCTGGTGCCAAGGGAGAGGGACAAGCTGGCTGGGCCATGTGTTTTAAAGGGGAAGGTTCCAGAACTGGAGAGAGGACCTTGACCATGCCTTCTGTAGAAGACCAGAGAGGCTGAGTCCAGGGTCCTTGGAGATGATGGAGCAGATGGTGCTGGGGCTGAGCTGGATCTTGGTGTTGGAGTGGAGCCCCTCATTCTGAAATTCCTCCCAGCTTGACCAGTGCTTGGGGACCAGATGGAAGCTCACTGATTGTCTCTCTGGAGCCACTGCCACAGAAGGCTCTGGAAATGTGCCCAGCTTGTCCGATCAGAGAGTAAATGGGGTTAGAGAAATTCATTTATTATATTAAAACATTTGGTGAATTAAAGAAATCAAGGAAGAATTAAATTGAAAATCCTCCCCAAGTTTCCCATCCTCAGTCCATTCAGCAGGGGCAGGCTCCCTGGGATGGTGTTTGGACTTTGACTTCATGGTATCAGGTGGCCATTTCTTTTGGAGTCTGGCTTCACAGATTCTACCTGGAGCTGGGCCTGTGATGGGTCTGCAGCCTTCAGTGAGACAGTGGATTTTGGTTCCTTTCACTGGCATGTCCTTAGTAACTCACAAAGAGGCCTATGACCCATAAAAGCTGGGTGCAAAGAGTATGCGCTCTTGGGGGTCAGGACTGTATCCCTAGACTTGCTATGGTCCAGAAACTGGCATCATTGTATACCAGCATGGAGTATAAGCGCATTGTACTCTCCTCGTGCCTGCATAATCATGGGACAGGTGACCAGGGACCACCAACCCTCACTCCTGCCAACCTTACCTAGCAACCTATAGCCTCTTCTCCCTGGAGCATGCTCTCCTGGGCTAAGAGCTAAGCACCTGTCAACTCCCCAGGCTTTCAGTATCCCAGGGCAAGGCCCCACGACAGAGATGTCCTGACTGGGACTAGGGAAGAAGACTTCCAAGGTATCAGATGGTAATTTGCAGGCCTGGCCGATCGCCAGAAGAAACTTTAGTGGAAATGATAGCTAAGTGGCAGGGCCAGAGCAGGTGCTGCTTCTATACTTGACTAAGGAGGACCTGGATGCCAGCTGACTGCACAGGGAGGCCATCCTGCAGATGCTGGTGAGACTTGCATGTGTTGACGCTCAGCTTTCCACCATGGGGACTGCCAAGAACTCCAGGGCTCAAGGAGCCAGCCTGTTGTAGGCTTCCACCCTCTCCATGGGGACTCTCGAGACATGGTGGATAATCTTGGGATCCTGTGTGACTTCTTGACATTTGTGGTAGGACAAGGTGCTCTGTTCAACTTGGGCCACTAAGGGAGTAGAAAGAGACTGGGTACCTGCCATAGTTCCCAGTGGGTAGTCTTCAGGTAGTCAACAAACCGCTCAGAACTGACCCTGCAATTTGCTGGTGCTGCCAGCAGGTGGCAGGTGAGCTGTCTGCGTGGGCTGTGGGTGTGAGACTGTGCTGCATGTTCTAATTTCCCAAGGTTTGCTTCTGTGTGGTTCCTGCTGGCAGCCTGTCTTTGCAGAGCCTGCTGAGTGTATGCTCTTCTGCGAGGTGCACAGTACAGGTGTGTGAGTGTAAGTGTGCCCCTCCCCTTGAGGAAATGTAGAACACGGTAGCTGAGCTGATGGAGACCTGACTTTGTTGGCTATAGTCCTGAGACTTCCCTCCTTCTGGTCCATCTATGCTTCAGAAGTGTTGGAACCTGCTCAGGAGCACTCAGGGGCTGCCAGTAATGATCCTTGAAGAAAACAGGGACATGGACAATTCTCCTAAGCCTACTAAGCTCTCAGCTGAGAACCAACATGTCTCCATTTTCCTCAAAGGGCCAGGCTCAAGGCCTTTTGTATCTTGCGCCCCTACTTCGGGCTCACCTATGCTGTGCCTCTGTTCTGTCTCCTACTGAAGCATGGTAGAAGAATGCTTATTTCTCAGGACCCAGCGCTCTCTGAACACCTTAGGAGCTGTCCCTCTGGCCATCCAAAGGTCTCAAGAGAGTTGAAGCCCAGACCTCATAGTGTGGCAAAGATCTGAGGGTGAAGTCCTATAGCTGGAGGTATGGACAGCCTGCATCTCCAGTCTCTCATTGGCAGGGACACCTCGTGGGCAGCCTGGGGCTGTGCTATGCTCTCTGCTTCTGTATGGTGCATATGGCAGAAGAGGAGACTTTTCTAGAGACTGCTGACGTAGTCTAGTGAGCGCGAGGTTAGAGCCCAATCTAGATAGAGAATCTGGCTTGTAGATCTGGCTGCAGACCAGGAAACCAGGCTTGGGCTTTCCCGACCGCCCACTCAGGCCTCTGTAGTTCTGAGGCTTCATGAGGTCCTCAAGTAGACTGTAGGTAGCTCCTCTTCTCCAGCATGGGCTCCTTATCAGATGTGGCCCTACATAAGATACAGAATCTCATTGTAGCACTCACCAGATGCCAGACAGAAGGTCAGTGGGACAGGAGCAGTCATTCTTGGAGCCATCTGCCATGAGTGTCATCCTTCCCACATCATGCACTGCCCCTGGAAAATGGAAAAACAAAACACCAATATCATCAGCCTTGTTGTCTCCCTCTAGTTTGTAGCAGGTCCTGGTGACATAGCTCTCCGGGATCAGTGAGAAAGGAGCAAGGGATTCATGCCTTTAAGATTGGGAATGACCTTGCAGGTGTCCAGTACAGAGAGGACTGGCTATTGGGTGATTATTAGACAGGTTGCAAGTGAATGTCACAGTAGCCAACAAGGCTGTAAGGCAAGTCTACAAGATAGACCTCAAAAGTTCTTGGGTTCTAGTTTTACTTGGGTGGCTTCTGAAGACATAAAACCATGTAGCCCAAAGCTCCCTGGGGACATTGAGTGGGTGGCCACATAATCCCGGGTTCCCAAGGTGTTTATGAGCTGGGTGCTCTGAGGGGCTGTGAAGAGCTGAGTCCATGGGATCTTGTGGGACCCACGTCTGCACTCATCCCTTCCATTCTTGGCTCTCCAGAATCATCCTGTAATCAGACTCCCACTTCCTCTATGCAGGCAGGAAATAACAGAGCCCTGTCAGGTCCCCTCCCCAGGGATGGGAAAGCTTCCTGGGATCCTACATGGTCAGGGCCTGAAGCTAGGGCTGCACTCACCAGCTTCAGGCTCAAGGGTAAATAAACAAGCCACTCCAGATCCAGGGTCCTATTAGTATCTAAATATTACCTATTGGCTCTGCCCTGGCTATCGATAGACTCATGAAGACAGCACAGTTTGATCCTGTGGGGATCTGGGTAGGCAAGGTTGGAGATAGGGGGCTCCCCTTAGACAAACACCCACCCTATCCCTTCTTCCAACTAGGTTCAGTAGCCTTGCCCCTACACCTCTTCTGTCTGCAGCACACATGTACTCTCTGGGGGTGGATTCCACTCAGTGTCTTGGGCTTTCCGCTAATATCTGTGGTATATCCAGCATTTTAGGTGTGCACTGCAATTTGACAGTTTCACTCACTTCCCAATAAGAGCTCCAGGCAGGGAGTCTGAAGGTACACACGTGCTGCCTGGCTTCAGTGGCTCTAGGCACCTTGGTACAAGCCCCTATGATCCAGTAACTCTTGCATTTTGCTTGTCTACAAAACCAGTGTCACATGGATGACACACCACATTCTGTGCCACCTTAAGATGTATCCTGGCCCCATCTGGACCACAGATGCAGCAGCCTCCCCTCACCCATGTAGCCCACCTGCCTCCCCTTCCCCAGTTCCAGCCCCTGTACAGTGCTTCTTAAGGATGGGACACAGAGAGCAACAGTTGGAGCTTTGGAGGCTGTGAGCTGCCATGCATTGTGTGCTGTTCCCAAACTCAGTGGCATTAAGGAGAGCCATGGATTTCCACAGTGGGCCTTTAGATAGAACTCTGCAGGGGTGGCTGCTGTCGAACCTGAGGCCTGTGGAGCCTCTGGTGGGAAGACTTGTGTGACCAAGAGTGATGCAGATGACTAGAGGCTGGAGCCATGCTGAGTCTTATTTATTCTGTGCCTGGGCTGGAGGACACATGGGCTGATGAGGACTCCCCTTTGGTTGGCTCCTACTGGCTACTTCTTATGGCTCAGGCTTGCTCATACCTCCAGCCCCGGCTGCTCAGAATTCTAAGGCCTCAAAGCTCACCATGGCTCTCTCCTTCTGCTTTGCTGGTACAGCAACCAAATCTTCTCTAACTGACAGGGAGAGCCTTTGGCCCAACAGCAAGACTGTGAGGAACCCAGGGCATACTACCTGTGGCATGTGGTACCTGTGCTGTGCACTGTGGCATTGTCAACATTTATAAGGCGTAATACTGTCGAGAGCTCTTGATGGGGTTTGCTTTCTCTGCCAGTTAAAGAATTAAAAGGCAGGAAAAAGCTCAAGCACGATATTGAGAAGTTGTGACTACAGCAAACAGGAACAGACAAATCAGCCATTGAAGAAAGGCATTTATTAGGGTGAAGAAGCACAGACAGACACACGGAGAAAGACTCCTCCGCAAAGCAGAGATGGAAACTCTGACTCGAGAGCCCCCCAAATTTAGTCTCTCCTTGAGGACTACAGTTTTAATCCTTCGATGGGTCTAGCTTTCCTTAATTTATGGTTGTTTGAAGAAAGTTAGGATGGCTGATTGGCCCATAAATGTGTATAACACGTCCTGATCTGTCTTGTACTCCTGGGTGAGCCATTAGCAGTGGGAGGTCCTATTGGTGGAAGGAAAAGGCTTTAGGTCTTTGTTTTCAGCTTTTCTTTTAGGTCAAGAGGGTGTGGAAGAAGCTGGCTGGCCATTTTGGAAGGTCACCACTTTTATGACCTAGTCAAAAGCCCCTTCCCCATCTGTCTGTCTTCTGGGAAGTCTGTCCTAGTCCTTCAGTTGGTCAGAGATAAGCAGGGCTAAGCCTCTGTGCCATGGAACCCTGGCTTCTTGGGTTCCTGCTAGCTATTGACTGAGGCAGAACTGGGACTCTTGGCCTGAACTCCACATGTGTGGTCTGACCCACATGGTTGATCCCAATGCTGGGTCCTAACTAGGAAGCTAGGTGAGACTTCTCTAGGCTTGCAGGCCACACAGCATCTCTGCCAGATTGTTTCCATTCAGGCCCACAAGAGGGGCTGTATTCTTGTGAGGAGGCTGTCCATGCCACTCTGTAGAAGGAGAATCCTGTGGACTGGACTGGCCTCTGGGAGATGCAGAGTCCCTCCCTCCCTCCCTCCCCCCTTCCTCTCTCCCTCCCTTCTTTCACCATCACCTCCTCACAGCCTGAGTGCCTTCCTTATAGCCTGTGTACCTGCCCAACCACATGACCCTCTGCCTGCAGCCTTGCTGTCCCATCCTGGAGCAACATGCACCCTGTCTGAACGCTCACTTCAGACAGTCCCTTCGGTGCCTTCTCTGGTACCCAGTTTAATACCTTCCTGCTATTCATCTCCCTCCACTAGAATGTGTCAGGCAGCCAGCTGGAGGCAGTGGTATGGTCTGTTGTAGCTGTTGCTGCATTCCTGGCTCTGTGGTTAGTTAGTGGCTGCGAGTGGAGGCAGGAATGTGGCTTTATGTGATGGGACTCTTGGAAGAGCTGCTTTAGTTCATGGCCAATTTTCTGTGTACCTCAGCTTACACCAGGACCCCAAGAGAGTAAGCACTCAAGGTGTTGACATTGTCAGGATAAGACAGAAATGTCCTGTTGACTAGCCCAGGTCATAGCTGGTGAGGCTGGGACCCATCACAGGCTGCCTGACTTCAGGAGAAGGCCATCCCAGCTGTGATGTTCTCAGAGGATCTTGGTTAGTCCAGTCTCAGAAGAGAATCCCTCCAGAGGCCGAATGCTAATAGCTCTTCCACACAGGCCAGCACCCAGTGAGTCCTGATCCAGGTATGAGAGCTAAGATGAACACACTCTAAGCTACTGCCAGTGTGCAGCCACACACTATGACAGCTGGAGCCATCTGTTATGTGTGCCAGGCCACACCGAGCTCTCACCTGATGGAGGTCCCCAACACTTGTCACCTGACCTGGGTGCAGGCTCTGAGAATACTAGCTGCTCTGTTGCCATGGCTACATGATAGGCCTGGGAGGGCCGAGGACTGAGTGAAAAGATACAAGATACAAGAAGGGAAAGACCTCGGAGACCCCAGACATTGACAGTCAGCCCTGCACAGGTAAGGCTGATCCTGCCTGTGCTAACAGATAAACAGGTAAATAAACATACAAATAAATGAAA